TTTGGGGAAACCGAGGGTTTTGTCTGTGCAATACAGGATCAGGTTATCAGGACGAACAACTATAGGAAGCACATTCTGAGGGATGGGACAGCTGACATCTGTCGATTATGCCGCCGACCGGGTGAATCCCTCAGACATGTCACCTCTGGTTGTTCTATGCTTGCTAACACTGAGTACTTGCACAGACATAACCAAGCAGCCAGAATCCTCCACCAAGAGCTCGCCCTTAAGTATGGCCTCATCGAACAGAGGCTACCGTATTATAAGTACCAGCCGGACGCTGTACTCGAAAACGACCGTGCCAAGCTCTACTGGGACCGGCCCATCATTACGGACAGGACTATTCTTGCGAATAAGCCTGATATCGTGCTGATGGACCGGACGGAGTCTCGGGTATTTCTGGTGGATATCACCATCCCCTACGACGAGAACCTCGTGCGGGCCGAGGCAGATAAAAAGACCAAATATTTGGACCTGGCGCACGAGGTGACCGACATGTGGAGGGTGGTATCTACAGAAATAATCCCGGTAGTTGTGTCGGTGAATGGTTTGGTCCCTAAAAGCCTCTCAAAACATCTCGAGAGGCTTGGTCTCAACAAAAAGTCGGTGGTGGCCCAAATGCAAAAAGCAGTCTTGCTCGACAATGCCCGTATAGTTCGCCGGTTTCTCTCCCAATAGTCCCTAACGCTCCGGCCGATTGTTGCCCACCTCGCCGGAGTGTGTCCTGCCGTCTTCCCAGGCGTGGCAGTGTTTAATACACTATAATAATAATAATAATACCGATATCGTCTTTCACGCAACCCATCCATTTCTTCTAAGGTCTACCTCTTCCTCTATGTCCTTCCACATTCCTCAAATATATATATATATTGCATTATACGACCACAAAATATTGCTTCAGATTATGAAAGCATTTTTATTGGTATTATTTTGGCAAGCATTTTTACTGGTGATAGGACCTCTTGTGAGTCCGCACGGGTAGGTACCATCACGTATTTCTGCCGTGAAGCAGTAATGCATTTCGGTTTGAAGGGTGGGGCAGCCGCCGTAACTATACTGAGACCTTAGAACTCATATCTCAAGGTGGGTGGCGGCATTTACGTAGTAGATTATGTCTATGGGTTCCAGTAACCAAATAATACCAGGTGGGCTGTGAGCTCGTCCACCAATCTATGCAATAAATTATTTTAAAAAAAGCTGTATAAGATAGATGTTGCATCAATTGAGTTAGGTAAGATAGTAGAAATTGTTCTTTTTATTTGCATAGATAAGTCAACGAACTCGGCGTGGAGTCAATCAATCTACAGTGCTTATAGGTACTTAAAACATTATGAATGCCCACAATCCACCTTGAGATTGTATTAAATGTCAAATGTATTAAATAATTCACACGAAAGTTATGGAAGATCGTTAGTAAGTAAAAAACACTACTTTGTCCCGCGGACACGATAAAATATATTATTATTATTATTTGGTACTTCTATATGTTTTCCCGTCTTTTATACGATCAGTTTACTTTCGTATGTATTTATATTATAGTGATTATATTGATTATATTATATAATAGAGTATATTATAGTGAATCACATAGATTCATGGAAATTACAAAAAAATATTGATCTGTTTTGATCAGAATATTATAATGCGATTCACAAAATACAGTTCCAAATTGAACAAGAATAATACAAGAATAATATAATATAAAGTCCGAAAGTACAAAAATTTCTATTGCACTTTGATACACTGAAATAACAACAATGTACAGAAAAACGAAATGAGAAAAACTAAACTTATAACTACAATACAATGGGCTTATCGCTGAAAGCGATCTCTTTCAGTCAACAAGTTAACGAGTATATTATATAGTAGGTACCTTGATTCGTTGAACAAAACTAAATGATTGAGTCGTTCTCTATAAATCATAGATCTAAATAATAAGCAAGATTAAGCGGTTACGGTTTTTTTTTATTGCTTTGATGGATGGACGAGCTCACGGCCCACCTTATGTTAAGTGGTTACCGGAGCCCATAGACATGAATTGCAAGGTCTCACTTTCAACAGTACAATGACTGCCCCCCCTCAAACCGAAACGCGTTACTGCTTCACAGCAGAATAGACAGGGTGGCGGTACCTACCCGTGCGGACTCACAAGATGTCCTATCACCAATAATATGTGCTTATATATATTTAAGTAATTATCGGAGCGCACAAACACCACACGTGATGCCACTATATAATACATCTTGAGTCATAAAGTCTTCAATTAAATTACATATACTTAATATTCCGCCCTTCAAACTGTAACGCACGAGTGCGTCGCGGAGGCAAAACTCTAATTTCGTCTAAATCGTCTAATATATATAAACGCAATTATAAACGCGACCTCAGCTAAATAAATATGAACCTTAAATTAACCACCGCGTACGAAATATCTATATATTAATACGTGAATCAAAAACTTTGTATCCCTTTTTACGAAGATTGCGCGGACGGAGGAGTATGAAATTTTCCACACTTATAGAGAATATAGAGAAGAAGTGCACAATGCTATTTTTTTTTTAAATAATGCATAAAAGATTCATTAAATCAATAAAGAAAATATTACACACACTACATACCATGTATTTGACGCACACACGCATACATACTATTTATTGTCAAACTTTTGTTCTTGACTTCTGTTGTCAAATTGAGATTAAATATTGTTTGTCTTTGTTAATATTTTTTATAGTGTAGTCTTGGCGAAATTTGTGATTGTAGAAGTATAAAATACTATCATAAACTTACAATTCCAATTAATTATAGTCGAATTTCGACTACTGCGGGACCTCTAGTATAATTAATTTAACCAAAACCAATTTGGCATACAGAGTAAACACACGAACGTTCGTTCGTTTGTAATACTGAATTAATATATATTTTTTTCATTACAAAGAGAAAGAAAAAACGTTACACAATACTTATTGTGACTCTAAGAATAAATTCATTGTGTTTAATGGGCTTTGTGCATGAGTAAGCACACGCGAAGACTAAAATCAGATGGAAGGTCGCGATTTAACCGTTCAAAACAAACCCGAAACAAATTAGAAATGCAAGTATAACTACACGGCCTTGATTTGCTTAGATTTATATTCTTAATTATGTGAAAATACATACAATCAACAAAATTATAAAAAATTTTTTTTTTTTGTCAACGATACATTTGAAGTGGTATAATTGAAACAAGTTTTAAGATAATAATCACAGGCTTGTTTTTGTTGTAAAACGCCATATTGGCCTTGAGTTTTGTGATATTAAAAGAACGTTGTTCTTTTAATATCATGTATATTTTAAACTAAGCTTTGTCTTAATACGAAACGATAACTTGACATGTGAATTTTGCCCACATTAAATTATTTTGACAGTACTTCTACGGCTGCCTCACTCTTCAAAAAGAAACGTATTACATACTGCTTCACGGCAAAAATAGGTAGGGTGGTGGTACCTATCCGTGCGGACTCACAAGCCGCCCTACCATCAGTAATGACAGACGTAAATACAGTCAAAATCTGTTATAACGACATCGAAGGGACTGCTCATATTCAGTCGTAAAAACCGATAGTCGTAACAACCGCTGATGTTTAATGGGTGTCGTGCAAGTACAAACAAATCGATAGGGAATTAATGGAAAAATATATTTACATAATACGCGATTTTTCTTCAATATTAATTTGTTTTATTTTTCTTTGCGACATTTTGAAAGTTTCACGAATAACTCCACAAAGTTTTGGTGCTTGTGTATAGATAAGTAACAAACTAACTGAAGAGATATGAAGAAGCGGGCTTTGACTCTACCGCATGCACGTATTTTCTTTCTAAGAATTAGAAAAGACCCTACACTAAACTAAATCCTATTGTTTTCTTTCCTGATTTTAAAAGCAATTGAAGACAAATGTGCATACCTATTCAAATTGTTTACAATACAGCTGAGCCGGTCGTTCTAACAGATCTAATTCTCCGAAATATTAGATAAATGTGGTCGTTTTATGAGGTATGTCGTTATTACCAATGTCGTAGAAAGCAATATTTTTAATAAGGCGGTCATATGGCATTCAGCCGGGACCTTTGTTCTTGGTTATTATAACCGGCATGTTGTATTAAACGATGTCGCAGTAAACGGTTTTGACTGTATTCTCAAAAAAAAATTGATTTTAATAATTTTTGTATGTGCTCACTTTAGCAAGGTACCGAACTACCACAATCAAATACAAAAGTCGAATGTTAATTGATGATCTAAAAAACTGCTAATTTGAATTGGTACTAAAGTCACATAGAAGTGAGTTTGAGTATTTTTTTTTTATTGCCCTTGTACGCAGATGAGCATACGGCCCACCTGACGGTGAGTGGTTACCGTCGCCCATGGACTTCAGCAATGCCAGGGGCAGAGCCAAGCCGCTGTCTACCGCTTAATACTCTCCACAAGCCTCGTTTGAAGAAAGACATGTCATAGCGCTGGGAAACACGGTGGATATTTCCCTCATAGCTCATATTTCCCTTGATCGAGATTTATTTACCTGCAACTGTGCAATATTCATATCGGTGAGCAGCTGTCGGGATACCCGACGTCGATCAGAAGCTAGCGGCGCGTTTGCCTTCTCCATGCTACGTCTTAACATTTCGGTCACGGGCGACACCGGACGGCTGCGACGTTCATGCTAGAAGTATAATAAATATCCACTGAACAATACCTGTTTCATGTACAATGTTGTTCTGATTTCGATCAGTGTCTAATGTAATGTTCAATCCTTACAAAACATGCATAACCATAACAAACTGCATAAACAAAATTCAATATTGTTAATAGATTCCAATTTCAACTATATTGTAAGCAAAGATTTTCTCCAGCGTTACGGCTGTCCAAAACACACATACAATTCGTATTTACGCTCAGATAAACAAAGGAACACAACTTAACCCACAGACACAGCCCACTGAGTTTCTCGCCGGATCTTCTCAGTGTGTCGCGTTTCCGATCCAGTGGTAGATTCTGTGAAGCACTGCTCTTGCTAGGGCCAGTGTTAGCATCACTTCGGTCTGAGCCCCGTGAGCTCACCTACATGTAAGGGCAAAGCTGGAATAGCCTCTCAATGCTATCAGCATAGCTAGGGGAAAAAAAGGAACAATAGTCTTGCCATTACTGGGCTCGAGTCTCACCTCCATTTGAATACGTGCCATTTCTTTTGCTTGGGCCAGCGCAATCCGCGCCTCGGTCTGAAGTGTCGCCTGTAGTGCATAAAAATCTGACTCTTTCAGCTCAATATGACCCAACGAGTGTGAAGAACGAGACTTATTATTCTTTTGTAAAGCTGATGGACGCAATTTCGCACCTGAAATTATAATGGTTCCAATTTACTCATATTCTTACACATACATAATAATTTTATATTTTTATATAATATATAGTTTTCGGTGTCAGTACATAGTTAGTAAAGGAACCATTTCCAAAAATATTGACGCTGTTTAGTACTGCTGTTGATTTCTTATGGGAATGAAAATGTTAATTTCCTCTTATTAAAATAGTGGTTCTTTGCAGGTTTTCATGCAGTTTGATAAGATTGCTGCTTAAGAGCACAAGAATAATCTATAAAATCACATCTTAAGTCATTGAGATCACCCTAGAGGTTGGGTTGGCAATAAATCCTTCTCCCAAGACAGTCTTATTTTCAAGATGCTAATTTAAGGAGAATTTAATTACTAATGTCACCATTGAGGTAGGTAGCACTTTATTATTTTTTGGTAACAATTCCTTTACCGCGTTTATTAAACAAAATATATATATACTTGCAACATCACCAATGGCTACAAAAACATTAAAACAAAGCATTGACTTCCCTTTACAAAATTGATTTCACACTAAAGACAATAAGACAATGACCACAGCATGGGTAGAAACTGTGTACTCACCGCTCTGAAGAGTGCTAATTTTGTCATGTTTTGTTATATTGACCGACAATGGCCTTGTCTGATAAGGATGGTTATAGTTTAATTTACTGAAAAGACTGGATTGTGAAAGACTTTTTGTTTCATAATTTACATTCTTGTCCAAATCTTGAAATTCATTTTCCGATGCTGTTTCATTCATAAAACAAATTTGCAGATTCATCCCTGTATCCACATTGCAAAACACACAACACAATTAAACACAATTTATAATGAAGCAGTGTGATGATAATTGATTTTTATTTCTCACAAATATTAGAATATTAGTTAGTTTCCATAAACATTACTATTGTAAATATTAGTTGTAGGCTTTATTTCAACAATGTAAATAAAACATGTAGGAATTTGTAGTGACTGATTATTTTTATTCCTTCTAATGAATTTGTTAATTAATCTTAAATTGAGACAATCAATAAAATCAAAATCTAATAGGAAACCAGAAGATAACTAAGAGTTCTATCATGCTGAAAAGAATGTGCTTTGTAGGAGAGGCACATAGTACCCAATTTTATATCAAAACCTTTTTGTTAATTTAAAAAGTTAATTATTACTAATATTTTTTGTACTAGTTTCAATTACTTTCTCAACTATATGTGTGAGTGTATATCAAGTGGTTATAATGGATATGGCACCAATCAAATGCCCTTTTATTAATAGATCTAATTGAATTTAAACTCAAAAGCAACAATCAAGCATCCCAGTTTATAGCCCCATTACCATTTTAATAAACAATATTTCATTGGTAACTTAATTAATCTAAAATAAACACCATAAACGAATTTTACAAGCCATACCACTTTGAAGTCGAGACTGTAAGCTAGGTTTTTTCCCTGGGCGCTCTGTGTGTCCCATACTGAAGTATTCATCTGCATCTGCTCCCATAGCCAAACGCCTTCTAATTTCCTCTCTATCATTGCGTTTCTGTAATAAATAAAATTATGACATAGTCCAAAAATTTTTAGGTAAGAATGTAAAACCAATATTCATTGTTTTTTATCATTTTAAAACACAATGGAGATTTAATTAAATTACTTTTTTATCATGATATGGTATGGCATAGTCAGTAATAGTTACAATCCTAGTAAATTTATCTAATAAGTTAGGATTATTGTCTGTTATTTTTGGCCATTCAATTTCAGTTTGAGCACACCCTGCAACACCATTAGCACGTGGACTTAACGCTATATCATCACATTGGTCTATAGGAGGATTCTTGACATCTGGTTTTGTTAATTTTAACTTGAACAGGTGCAGTCGTTTTTTAAGTCCTGTTTTTTCTACTGTTTCACAATTATCAGCAGTCTCCGGCGACGGTTTGGTAAGCTTCCGCCTTATATTAGTAATTAAGCTCTCAAACATAATAAATACAAATCAGTCTTCTTAAATTTGGCAAAAATATGGCACGTTTTGTTTATAGCACACAATGGTAAACAAAAAAAAAAACGACGTTATCCTTTCTTGTCAATCCCGTCAATGTGACATTTTAGGACAAGGTCACACATTTACAGAATGTTCCATTTAATTTGTCTATGGAACTCAACCCAAACTATATTAATTTGGTCAGTATATCTGTATGTCAAAAAAGGTTTTACGATGCTTATAGAACTTACGAGGCAACAAATATTATCCACAGACTCGTGATTATCATAAGTAATCGTGTATAAATCCAAGAGAAACCTTGTGTCTTTTTTGTAATGTCTTTGTTCAGGATGAAAATACGGCATTGATTCCATCACTTTGTTTCAACAAAATTAATAAACAATATATTTATACGTGTCAACACTGTCAATAGAACGCAATCGTACACCTTGCTGCTCGAATTGACTTTTAAAACTGGAGACTAACAACCAGCTATACCGCTGAATCACCGTAGAAAGCTGGTTCAAGACGTTTACTACCTACCTATTGTAATTAACTGTTACACATGGCTGCAGCAGACGTGGATCAAACTCCGAGTGTGCATTTACCGTTACTTTTGTAGCGCGTAAATTTAAACTTACTACCAGTGTTACTATAATTTTACACCCATATGGATTAGATACATTTAAATAAATAATTATGGACAAGTAATTATTTTGCGACTTACCCGACGTTCCGCTTCTTTGGCTGCTTTAAGATGACTTTCGATAGCATCCAAATCTAATTTAGGTAAAGCAGTCTCAATATTGTATACATCAAAACTCTCTGAAAACATTCGAAATAATTCATATAAGAGCGGAAACTTAATTATCATAAATAGAAAGATAATTTTAATATTATTATTATTAAATTAAAATTAAAATAATTATATTTTTTATTACCTATTGGTCAGAATAAAATTGTACAGAATACAGTTGTTTACTAAACAGAGCAATTTAATATAGTTTAATACATACCTAAGTCAATCTCTTTGGTGACCTTATCACCATGGACGGATATTTTACTTTGAGCACTGCTATTACTATTTTTCGGCTCTCTAAAACGGTCCCTTGGACCTCTGAAATTTCTCAAATACATCGATATGTTATTTAACAATACAAATTACGAATCTTACAAATATTCACTATCTTCGTTCCATTAAAAACATTGAACCTCATTTTGTGAATAGATTCTAAAATGTAATTAGCCGAATGTAAGAGAAATTATGTAGACTACTCAGACATGAATTAAACCAACTTCTAAATTTACCAGGATTGTTAAGATTACGTCAAATCTATTTTCAATTCCACTCATGATATGTATATGTACGTACGGTTCAAACATATGGATTGCTTTTGCGATTTATGGGTTTTCATATTTGAGACTGAGCCACTTCGAAATTACATTACAACTTAACCTATATGCATTAGCAAAATAGAAGCGCAACGAAAAAAGTATATCTATAGCTGTTTTAAAGTAAAGTTGTTTAAAGGTCTATGAAGCGGCTCAAAAATTGAGGACAGACCGCGCTACATCGCGGCAGATGTATACATGGATTAATTGCACATGTAGCTTACTGCGTATTTTCTAAATTTCAATTATATTAATAAAATACATTATGAGTATTTCTCAATGTGCTATTATGAGAATCAACTTTTAAAAACATACCTTTGAGACATTTTTGGAGCGTTCCTAATAGTAGAATTAGAAAATCCAACTTTTTTAATATCACTTTTGTCTTTTACAATTGAACTACTAGATAAAATATTACGTTTCGAGTAGCTCTGAATTTCATTAGAATTTCCATCTTTAACAACGGAGTCCGTGAACCTTCTATTTTCAGCCCAAAGTTTATCACGTTCTCGCATTTCATCTAATTTAGGAATAATCTTCCTCAGTTCGGTGCTCAATTGTTTGATAGTATTTTCCACATTTAAAGATAGCTTTTCCGTATCATATTCACTGACATTTATTTCATCTTTTCCATCCGACAAAAACGCATCTGAAATTTTACCGCTCGCGGTTAAGCTATTTTCTATGTACAAAAATGTAGGCCTATTTAAATTCATTTCGGTCCTAGCATTTTTTTCATTTTCTTTATTAATTTTACTAATCTCATCCACAACATCTCGCTCTTCTGTGTAACATATAGCTTCTGCTAACGGCAAATCTTCATGTTGATCTATGAACGTTCCTTGATTTTCTACAAGTTTCTTTATGACGTGGTTAACTACTTCGCTGATATTGTTGATCGTGTTTTCTATAGGTTTAACAAGAGTGTCGTTAATATCTTTTCGTAATTCTTCTAAATCATCTTGAATGTTAATGTTATAGTTGAGAAGTTCTCGAATTTCTTCTTCAATCTCTTTATTAAAATCACCAATTATTTCTTTTGTATGAAAGTTGTTTTCTATGTCTGTATCTGAGCAATTTAATTCAAAACAACAGATTTCATTGTTGTTATTAATATTTTTTGGAACTGTCTTTAGTAAGTCGGGCATTTCATTTTTGATCTGTCTATCTAATGTTTTTGTTTCGAATGTTATATCATTTTGTGAAGATGTCAATTTTGTAAATGTAATGGTACTAAGACTATTGTTGTTGTTATTTTTGCATGTTACTCCTTTTTGATTGTTTTCTGATTCTACTTCAGTAATTTCTAAATCAACATCATCATCAGTCATTTCATTATCAGAATGATAAAAGTTTTCTATATTAGACGAATAATCCTGAAAATACACTCATATAAACAACCAATAAAAAATACAAATCGGAAGAATCTGAATTGAACTATAATGCTTTTAAAAATTCTCTCTGTTTACGAACGATCTCAGATATAAAACGATGTCTTTTTTATTTTCTAAATTTACCTGTAGAGTGTGAGCTAAATGTTGAAAGCCTGGATAATTTGGATTCACGATACCTCTAGGTACAGGATGGATACCGTTTTCAGACATCTCATCTGAATCTGACTGTTCAAACGCCCGTTCGTCATCAACAGGCGTGACATCAGATAAGGCATTAGGGCTTTCTGTAAACGATAAAACAAATTAGCGATAGTATTCAAGAACACTTAAAATAGAACAAAATTACTTTTCCTCATCGTATAAAATAAAAAGGGAGGTTATAAAAGTGTTATGCCAAATAATATATATTTTTTGTGATTTACCTAAAAAGCTTGGGTGTGCAGTGTGAATTTTTCCAGTATCCTCCAGATTTACAGCTTCACTGTTAATTGTTTTGTAAGCAATAACTTTACAAGTATTAATTCTATACTGTCTGTTACATACGACTGCTCCAACGTTCACATTTGCACTTTCATAGTTATCTGTTCTAGAAGAAGTTTTAAAGTTTAAGAAAGTTTCAGTACGGTTTCTTGTGTCATATACTACATTAAAATTTGAATTGTATTCTGAATTGTCGATGTTTTCGTAAATTTTCCTTGATATTGCCCTAGTGTTACGATCGTTGGTGTTTCTGTGCAGGGTGATGTCTTGAGTCTCAATTATATCGACGTTGCCATTCTCATTTGCATGTCTGAGCTTCATGATTACCTAGAATAAATAGAAACAAGATGAATTTAAAATTTAGTCTTTTGTACAGTAGAAACATTATAATATAAATAGCATTTTTATTTATTGCTTACATGGATGCACGAGCTCGCGGCCCACTTGGTGCTAAATGGTTACCGGAGGCCATATACATCTACAAAGTGCATGCCGACGCACATCTTGAGACACGAGTTCTAAAGCCTCAGTTTTTACAATACAACCGCTACAGACTAAATTCCCTGCCGTATAGTATCATCTACGTTACTATCCTAACCTTCAAACTATACTTAGTTTAATGCTTCAAGAATACGGATAAAAAATTAAATTAATCAAATAAACGAAACAAAAAAAATATGTATATTTTCAAATAATTTGATATCGTTACAATCTCATTAGAACCAGCCAGGCAGACTGAGCCTGACCGTGGCGCGCCCGTCAAAAATCTGCTTATACTGTTTACAGTTCACTGCAGCTTCATTTGATCTTTATATCTCTTTGACCACTTTATTACACGATGGTCTAGTAGTTATTAACCTTAAATACCGTTTCATAGGACCTGGGTTCGATTCCCGGACAGTGTTTCTATGGGACATATTTGTAAGCCGTGTAAGAGTATTAAGCGATAGACAGCGGCTTGGCTCTGCCCCTGGCATTGCTGAAGTCCATGGGCGACGGTAACCACTGATCATCAGGTGGGTCGTATGCTCATCTGCCTACAATACAACGGCAATAAAAAATAAAATAAAACAAGATCTGGGTGCAGGTGCCTATTCTCTCCCCCTGCGTGTGTACTTCCATAATTTATAACACTGGAGATAAAACTAGCCATTACGCCTAGGACGAAAGATGGGCATAGCTACTTCCAAACACGCAAAAGACTTTTGACCTTTAAAATAAAAATAAATTTTATTGTGAAATCAATGAGTAACAACTACAATAAAAGTTCTAATTAATAGAAGTCCGTGCGCCATTTCTAAAACCATATCGTGCATTTCAGAAGTTGCAGTATTTCAAAAATTCCTACAAATTTTAATCAAAATATCGTTTTTCTTTCATAATAATGAATCATAAATGTTCAGTAAAATCCTCATAAAAACTTTCATCACCTCTGTTGAATAGAAAACAATAATATCCTGATAAAACTTTACGTTGTTATTAGCAATAATCATTGAATTTTTTATCCAAAAACGATAAAGGACGATATTGTGGGCCGATCTACAATTGGTCGGTGTTCCCCGTATACCTATAATACTCGAAATTTTTACAAAGGTACTTCCAAAAGATCGCCGCTTTGATTATGTGTATCTTTTAGAGAAACTTATCCAGGATTATTAACTCTCGACCTCTCATTCCGATCGGATTTGTCCACCATATTGCGGAAACCTACATGTATTACTAAAATTCTATTTACGTTCCTATTAAAATGTAATTTAACGTAGTTTGTTCTTTAATCTTTAATTATTTCCAGAGATAAAGATTTTTTGCTTTCGAATGGGAGTTATCCTAATTATTTCCTTCACTACTTTGACTACTGCTTCACGTCTTTGTAGAAGAAGAAGTAGATAGTTAAACACACTTAAAATTTGATTATGCTGTGAGGTTACAAAGAAATTTATCGTAAACTGATAAATAAATTCTTCCGTGGAAGACTTCCACATGAAAAAACACACAGAGAATTCATAAGGTTTGGCAAACATCATAAATAACAAGCCTTAATAAAACATGGAGTAAGCGATTGTGTGATTCAAATCTCAAGAATTCGAGACCTAAAACCAGTTTTCAACATATTTTTTTTTGCTACACAGCAAGGCGAAATTAGTAAGATAAGGTTATTTTATATTAGAAAAACTCTCGATCAATTAATTTATTAGTTTAGATTCATTTTAGTTTGCTTTGAAAAGAATTTTATACATTTTACTACGTTAGTAAAATCTAATTTCTTCCACAGCAAACGAGTTTTCAGAATAAGTGGCAAATTTAATTATTAGAACTCTGGCTTAAACATTGGCTTCTTAATGGCTTTTAGAATTCCACGGTCTGATATAAACACGATCTTATTTGCTAAAACGGCCTTTTAATGTTATCATTAATTTCTCTAGCCACCGATATTTATTTTAAGTGTTGGAGGTTTTCATAAGTGTAATTCGGAATTTAAAAAATGCTCATGCTACCTATAGTTTTACGGACAGTGAGGTGTTATTGTTTATCATTCAAATATGATACTTGGTCCTTCAATTTTGTGACAAGAACATTGATTGCATCGTTGCCAGTCTTATGTAGGCTCGAGATTCTACCACCAGTAAAAAGTGCCACCAGGGAAAGGTTCAAAATCAACATATTGTTGTAAAGAGTTTCACTACCTCCTCCTTAATAAGCACGGCCCAATCTTTTGATATCTTTTTGAAGACTCCGGCCGACTCACTGCTTAATTACAAACAACCGCCTAAACCATTACTGAAACCTGATAATACCCACGTTGACCTTATTGACTTGAAAAGATTATGTAGGTAAAGCTTTGAGCGTAGACTCGGTCATTTTGATTATTAAAGTGCGCCTCTTTTTTTTCCCTACCTATGCTGATAGCCTTGAGAGGCTAATTCAGCTTTACCTTAACGTGTAGGTGAGCTCACGGGGCTCAAATCGGAAGTGTTGTGAACACTGGCCCTAGCAAGAGCAGTGCTTCGCAGAATCTACCACCGAATTGGAAACGCGACCCACTGAGAAGATTCGGCGAGAAACTCAAAGGGCTAATGCTTCTCGAGAGCAAACAAAATCATCAGTATTTCTTCTACGATTGTTTTGATTTTGCTATCGCGAAATGTGCGATTATGCTCTTGGTGCTTTAATTATTTCCGTAGATAAAGATTTTTTTTTAACTTTCGGATAGGAATTATTCTAATTATTTCCTTCACCACTTTGATCGTCTTTGTAGTAAGAACACTACATGACTGCACTTTTTCCTATCATAAACAGAGTACGTTTCGTAATACCTAAAATTATCTCAATACACAAACTTTCCGCTAACATCAAGCAAATGGAAAGCTTATAAAATTGCATTTGACTCGATAGTATGCGTAAGGCTATTATTTACAGCTATAATAGCCGCTACATTACTACTTACTTATGTTTATGATAAATCGCCCGACGCAATTTTGAAACCACACAAATATTTAGCAAACTTTGGCGCGCAAATGAAAAAAAAATACAATTAATATTCATATAAGAATAACAGGTACCAGTTGAATTTTAACATAAACTATTAAAACCTAAAGCATAATCCAGATAGCTATTTATTTTATTTTATTGGTTAGATGGTTAGGTTAGATTGGTTGCCCCAGCCTTCAGACCGACACGCATTACTGTTTCACGCCAGAAATAGGCACAGTGGTGGTACCTACCCGAGCGGACTCACAAGATGTCCTACCACCAGTAATTACGCAAACTATATTTTCGCGAGTTTCATTTTCAATAAATTTCGAACGCTCCGAATATCTTTTCCGTTGTGTTTTTTGGTGTGAATATAATTTTACGCCGCAATGCTATGCTGACTGGCTGTAGGAAAAAGCGCATTGATACTAGAAAGGCGGTGGCCGGTTGCCAACGAATCGAATCAAGCTCGCAAACAAATTTTATAAAATAAAATCGTAGGAGATCCACCGAGCAAACAATTGAAATCACTTTGACGATCTGCTGAGTTATTAAGTTTGCATTGACCTAACAAACTAATCACGATGCGACAATACGACAACCATATTCAGTTAGAACTCCTAGATTAAAGCATAAGCATGTAAGTTAATATTCCTTTAATTATGATCTATCTACAACGCTAACTAACTAATTAAATGTTTTGCTGACTTGCGTGTTCATTATTACACACCGCAATAAATAACCAAAGGGTGAGCTCTCCTCCTTTTAGCCTAAAATGATTTCATTATATACCTAAATAAAGCAATTCAGGTTGTTAATTTCTAAGTTGTAACGATCTTTGTTTAGGATAATTTAGAACAAAATGGAGTCTTTTGCTCGTTCATGTATTTAAAGTTACTACAATAACAATCCGTAACGAGCTAGGCGCTGTATTTAATTATTTTTACAACCATAATATACCCAGTCGTGTACTCCGAAACAGTTTGGGAACAACAATTATAAAGTTAATAATTGTAATATTTAGTTTGTCTTCAGTTCTTGTAAGTCTGGCAAAGCTAAAAGCGATTTGACAAAAAATATATCTTTAACTTTAACACATTGTCGATAATGTCGATAATTTTATAACTAAATAAATCAATCGGTTTGTAATTGAAATAATAAGAAAAGCATCTTTATTGTAAATAGTAACAAAGCAGCTGAGGATGATGGTTACGCCTTAAATAAACAACAATCACTCGTAATAAATACAAAATTATATAGGTAATAAATATTGACTTAAACGGTTTTTTTTTCCTAAATATCCGTGAATATAGATAACCAAAATTTAAGCCTAAAATCATAATTGCAGACAAATTTTACGGAACGGCAACATACTTTAGTAGCAAATTTTCAGAAATGGTTATCAAAGTCATTATTAAAGTTATCAACCTACAGCATGTTGTCAAAAAGAACAGGTTGAAGTTGTCATTTTACAATACTGGCCATTTGAAATATAATTTTTGTATGGCTGCCAATCTATACTAATATATAAATCTACAATGGTTTTTACGGATGTTGCGGTATAACTATTGAAACATGCATCCGATTGACTTGAAAATTGCTACTCTTGAGCTGTTAGGTCTTCTTCGGAGGCGCTCGGGTAGCTGTTAGCAAATCCCACCCCTCTTGGCTGAGCCTTTGCTCGCCCACCTGTCCTGGTGAAACTGGAAAGGCCTCCGGGCCACCAGTAATCCTTCAATCATAAAAAAAAAGACTTGAAACTTGGTAGGCCTATCCATTAAGTACATGTAGAAAATACATGTACTTAATGGATAGGCTAATATTTATATGAGTGTTCGACTCCCTACACCAGTTGC